GGGTGTGGTGTGGATGTGGCTGAGGGCAGGGTGTGGCTGGGGTATGATGTGGGTGTGGTTATGGGTGTGGTGTGGATGTGGCTGAGGGCAGGGTGTGGCTGGGGTATGATGTGGGTGTGGTTATGGGTGTGGTGTGGATGTGGCTGAGGGCAGGGTGTGGCTGGGGTATGATGTGGGTGTGGCTGAGGGCAGGGTGTGGCTGGGGTATGATGTGGATGTGGTTATGGGTGTGGTGTGGGTGTGGCTGAGGGCAGGGTGTGGCCGAGGGTATAATGAGGTGTAGCTATGAGTATGACTGGGCATGTGATATGGATGTTGCTCTGGGTTGACATGTCTTCATTGACTGAAGAGCTGAAGCTTCAACACTAGACAGAAGGGGTCATGACATCATACTCCTAATTATGGCCGTTTCCTCAAACTTCACAAAGCTGCTGATACTGTTTTCTGTCTAGGGAAGATGTGCAGAGGCTGTGGCCAGCCAGACGCATGGCTGCCTGGGTCTAGCCTCCCAGCGCTGTGTGCTCCCTTAGTATGAATTCTGTTATATATCACAGGAACAGACGTTTGCATGGCTCTGATTTCCTGATCAATGGCAAACAGTCTCCCTCATATGGTATGTGGTTTCTGGATTGTTTCTGTCACCAGTGTGAACATCAGCAGTCCTTCGTGACAGTGACAGTGGTTATGTGATAGCTGTAAGATAACCTGAGGTGAAGTCCAGAATTCCACATTGATTCAGATGCTGTTTTGTTATCGTTGAACCGATTTAGCTGAAGTGTTTCACTTGACCCTGAACTGGCTTCCCGGTTTCAGTTCAATAAAGAAGTTACCCATGCTGCCTGCTTCAAGCACCTGGTCCAGGCCAACGTCCGCAACAAGAAGATCCTGAAGGACGCCATCCAGAACATTGAGGCCAAGGGAACGACAAACTACAAGGAGGGCTTCAAGTATGCCTTCGAGCAGCTTTCAGATGTAATTCCTGTCTTTAAATCTTTATTTCCCCCATTTGCAGTGAGATACTTTCTGTGTCTTTATGCTGACTGTGACTGTGACTGTGAGGTTAGTCAGGCAGTAAAGCTCAGTGTCAGAACGTCTCAGATCAAACCTGGTGTCTGAGGCAGGAAATTAGGAGCTTTTCACACAACTGTGTAGAGCAACATGGCAAGATGTAGCAGCACATGAAAACTAAACACATAATTGGGTTGTCCAGTCAACATAAGACTGTGATTGGCTTATTACGTCACTCAGAAAAACTTGGTGATGGAGACTGTCTCATGCCAAACAGCCGGATATGTCAGACAGGTGCATTGTGGTTAAATATCACCATCTGCTGGTTATAATGTGCATATCATGAATGGCCTATTTCTTTGACACCAGTTGCCTCTACAGTGTTCAGCTTCATTCTCATGGCTTTTGTTTCTCCTAGCCGAACGTGACCCGTGCAAATTGCAACAAGGTCATCATGCTCTTCACCGATGGAGGAGAGGAGACAGCTCAGGAGATCTTCGACAAATACAATCGAGACAAGAAGGTGGGTGCACTATGTGAGGAACTGTGGGCAGGAGATGTCAGCCGCAGCCACATTCGGCTTTCGTTGAAGCCTCCTGACAGCATCTTACATTAAGGCAAGGAGACATTCAGACCAAACTCTACCAATAGTCCGGATGTTCGTTTCAGTCAAGCCTCATTAGGAAATGCTCCTCTTCAAAGTGTGAGCAGATGATGGCACACTCATAATTCACATCTGACTATCTGTCTATATATTTATATATATCTCCGTCAAAATAAAGGTTTGTGAATACAGAGCCTGTTTTCTATGACATCAGCCACTCTCTCTGAGTCAGTCAGAGATCAGATACTCTGCAAGTAATTCATTTTCATGCCCTCCATCCAAACAGTGGGTGGAAGGAGGCTTTGTTTTCATGCTTGTTTGTTCCTGGTTTCTGTTTTTGTCATGCCGCCCCCTGCTGGTCCGTGTCAGCGGATAACATTATACAGTCGTTTGGGTTTTTTTCTTTAATTCCTGGATTTTCACTATGGTGAAGTACAGAGAGAGCCGGGTGGGGGAGTTCCTCTGAAAGGGGGGTCTGTTTGTCCTCTTGGTGGGGTCAGCAGGGCTCAGCCTGACAGGGTGATTCCTTGGAACAGCTCTGGATTATGCCCCGGTCACAGGGAGATAATGGGCTCCCAAAATTACTTGCTTATTTTTCTGAATAATTCTGGAAAGTCAGTGATTCCATGACCACCACTTACTTAGGATTTTAATCAGCAATAACTGCAGGTCAATTTTCATCCAGCAGAAATGTAATAAAGTTTTCTCTTTTTTCCCCCAGGTGCGCATTTTCACTTTCTCAGTCGGGCAGCACAACTATGACAAACACCCCATTCAGCGCATGGCCTGTGACAACAAGGGTGAGGATACACTGTGACACATGATGCACCTTTAGACCCACCAACCAATCAGACAATTTGTGTGAAACTTCCCACTAAGCTGTCAGTGTACATCAGCAATTAACATTCTAATCAAACTCAAAATCAGTATTTTACACGGGAAGTGGGAACATATGATGTAACGATGTGATTCTGCTGGCGTAGACTGTGTAGGGAATATCACTCTAAATCATTGTCGTTTGTGTCTGATGTTACTCTTTCGTAATTTGTGTTGCTTTTGCGACATTTTGTACTATAATCTCTAAAAAATCTTTTCACATTCCAGGCTACTACTATGAGATCCCTTCCATCGGTGCCATCCGTATCAACACACAGGTGAACCATTGTTCTTTGTATGATAACATATCACCAGATTGTTCCTGACCTCTGACCTTTAGCCTCTGACTTCTGGTTGCAGGAATACCTGGATGTTTTGGGCCGGCCCATGGTGCTGGCAGATAAGAAGGCCAAGCAGGTCCAGTGGACCAACGTCTACCTGGATGCACTGGTAGGAGAGCTCATCTGGTCATGAGACAGCCGTCAGTGTCTGGTTTTGGTGCAGTTTTAATGAATGAGATGTAGGTTTTGCAGCAGATGGCCATAAGCTGTTCTCTGGAGGAACAGGGCGTGTTTTTACGTTAATAGCAGCAGATCAGCAGCCAGGCTAGAGAAGGCCTCTGCCCTGCGTGTCAGTGCTGCGGTCTTACTGGAAAAGGCGCAGAAGCGAGTGACCTGAGGCACCCGCCCCGCCTGCGGCCGGTCAGGGAGCTCCAGCTTTGACTGCAGCCCCCAGCCAGCTGCCAGGGCGTTCTGCAGTTCTGTTCTGAGAAACAGCACGTTAGTCTCAGATGTCAGGGTTAAGCATTGGTGGCTGTGCTTTACACAGCCGAAGTGGGTCCACTGTAGATGATCTCCTGGAGGGGCTGCAGTTTCCTTATTGCATGGTTTCTCCTTTTGTGTGTGACTTTGATATCCTGCTTTGCCAGGAACTGGGCCTGGTCATCACAGGTACGCTGCCAGTCTTCAACAAGACCGTGTCGGGAGACAAAAAGGTATTTCCCGGATGTCAGCAGGAGCAGAGTTACCAAGCCTGATGTTTGTTCCAACAGGAGATGAAAACTCACAGCAGAACAGCGATATTTGTTCAGTGAAACTCAATAAAAATAAGCTTGTAAATGCAATTCAACTGTTGAACTTGGAAGTAAAATAAATGAGGTTCAGCACAAATGCATATTCCTGTCATTAGTAACATCTCCCAGCTCTCTGGTACAGAGTAGTGCACATAAATCCCCGTGTTGACGTGTAGCAAAATGCATACGTGCCGTTTAAGCTGAAGCTGTGGAGCCGCTGGCATGGCGAGTCTGCTCAGCTCTGCCCCCTGTCTGCCCAAAGAAACAGAACCAGTTGATCCTGGGAGTGATGGCGGTCGACGTCTCCCTTGAAGACATCAAGAGGCTGACCCCACGCTTCACCGTAAGAGCCTGTGCACATGCGTGTCCCCCCTCGGTCACGCTGGAAGGCTGCTGTGCAGCATGGTGTATTCGCCTCCGTAGAGAGGCTGAGTGGTGTGTCAGTAGACGGGAGGCCTGGCCGGGGGCTGCGGTGCTCAGTGAGTATTTTAACACGACGCTCCCTCTCGTTCAGGCACACTGAACACACAGGGAGGAGCAGAACATTAAATGATCCGTACTCGGCAGCAGCTGCTGTGCGGCTTTATTCCTCATCCGTGTGCGCTTGTGATCTGCGCTTGTGATCTGCGATTGTGATCTGCGATTGTGATCTGCGCTCGTCCAGCCTAAAGCACTTCCAGATGCGGAGAGACTTGTTTTCTCTGTTCTGAGTCACTGCAGCTAATTCATGGGGAAGTGACGTGTCTCAGGATCGCTGCCCCCGCTTGGCCGCCGGGGGAGCTGCACCCACATGATAGCTGCATCACTCACCCTCTCTCTCTCTCTCTCTCTCTCTCTCTCTCTCACCCCCCCACCCCAAGATTGGCCCCAGCGGATATTATTTTGCAATCGACCCCAATGGCTATGTGCTGCTCCACCCCAATCTTCAGCCAAAGGTATGTTTTCCTCTTCAACATTCTCCAGGCCCTAAAGAGCCACAGCTCCACCATCTAGGGGCTCCAGAAAAAGGCCCTGCGTTTGTCTCCGGGGCTCCGGTTAGGGCCCCTTATGTTTCTGCAGAGGAGCACTGAACTCCAGAAGGGATTGGGGGGGGGGGGGTCGGCTGTTTTCTAACTTCCCAGAGAAGGTGGAGCTTTTCCCGCCGGCAGGCATGTGTGGTCTGCCAGCTGAGATCAGCTGAGGCCCTGCAGCCTGCGTGGGATTGATGTGATGTTGCAGTGCAGGATGCTTCAGCCCCTTAAGAAGCTGGTGAGAGACGCGAGGCGTGTCCTCCCCCAGCTATGCAGTGCTGCTTCATTAACGGCGAGGAGCCCGGGAGAGGGGAGAGGCCTATGTACTATCGTGCCAGTCAGGAGGCTTGCTTCTCCTGCCTCCTGATGCCCTGATTTACCCACTGGTGACCAGAAGAGGTCAGAGAAGCTGTTTTGCACCATGATGCTGTTATTATACATGTGAGCTGGCAGCAGGTGAATCTCCTCAGCGTGACATCATGGTGTGGATTGGGGGGGGGGGTGATCCTGCAGAAAGGCCAGGCTGAGGCGACAGCGAGCTCACGCACGTGGAAGGTGCTGAGGGAATCATGAGTGCGTAGGATGACATTAGCATGTGTTGTTTATGTAACTCGCTGATGCTGGTCACATCTCTGGTACTCGATCATTGCATTTCAGCCAGTAATTTGGCGATGGCAGTCCTGATAAGGCACATGCCTGGGTGGGTGAAGTCAGACTGTGAGCGTGGTCCTTTGAGACTGACAGGAAGTGACACGGCAGAGATAATGCAGTGTTTCCTGTGACTGGGGTAATGAGGGCAGGTCAGGCCTGGATCCCTCAGTCGCAGTGCGGCCTGCAGAAAGCTTCACTCAGTGTCTGTGTACTGCGCCATGATTGTTTTAACACACTGAAACCGAATACACTTGGAAACTTTTAACCTTTCAATTAACTTAGAAGATTTGAGGGCTGCAGACATGATTTATGTTTTGCTACATGCTTTCATCTGCATCTCCAGCCCTGTATAATTTTCCATTTATTTTTGTAATTTATCTCTCCTGTTAATCGCTATTCTCAAATGCATGAGGCAGTATTCTGCTGGTTAAAGATATTAATGAACTGGGAAATTGCTTATACCAAAATAACACAATGAAATAAAGGGAAAATTCACCCCAAATGTATTTTGTTGAAATTTTACACAGAGATTTTCCACCTGTCAAGTAATGAACTAACAAAACATTATGTGCAGGATTTAAATGAAAATAAATTAAATGACTAAACTAAATAATGTACAAGCAGGATAACTTCTGAAGGTTTATTTATTCAGTTTTCTTTCTGAAAAAATACTTTAGCCTTTGAACTAGAATGTTGAAGATAATATATCACTTGGTAAAGTTGCTTTGTGCCCCGTTCTTCCTGGGATAGATTCCAGGTCCCCCCGTGGCCCTGCAATGGATGGATGGATGGATGGATGGATGTAATTTAATTCCCTGTGTCCCTGTTCACTGCTCCTAAATCCCCTCCATTTCCTTTCCCGTGGCCCAGCGCCTGCATGTCTGTACACACCATTTCTTTGCCTTGTCTGTGCTGCGCGTGAACATCGTCTGGCTCGCACCTCGTCCCGTAGCCCATCTTGCACCGTGTGATGCGAGCCCCCCCCCACTTCATGATGACCACTGCCCCCTCAGACAGCCTGTGCCCCCCCGCCCGAAATGAATTACAGCATGGACAGGCTGTCAATGAGTCTGGCCGGCTTTTCCAAGAACAGGTCGGAGGTGGGGGTCAGGCCCCGGGACATGCCGGGCTGTTAATAAGGGCCAGATGCAGACAGGCATCCCCTGACTCTTTGGCTGGCGGCGGGTTCGAGCCCCATGACTCACTGGGCAGCACTGAGATCAGCAGGAAGCTGTCAGACTGGGGAACAATGCAATATGAACTCTTCCACAGTGAAAGCAAGCATAATATAATGTAATCGTATTATAGTGTAATCAACAAATCACTATAATACCTGTGTCTACGATGATAGGACGTTTACTTAATAGCCTTAAAAAGTACATTTTCAGTTCCTGCCATGTCAGTAGCACATTTAAGTAACAGTGTAATGTATGCATTCAGCTGGTTGCTGTCTCGGTTGAGTTTATGTTTACCTATAGAGAGTGGGTTCCTGGTTATCTAGACCCGAAAGCTTCTGGCAGTCACTTTAATGCACACGGATCTGTCGGTATTTGTGCCTCCCCAGAACCTGAAATTCCAGGAACCTGTTACCCTGGATTTTCTGGACATCGAACTGGAGAACAACTTCAAAGTGCAGGTAGGCTAGCTTCCCCGCAGGATGCGAAGCCGTGCTTCGCCACTCTGCTCACGGTCCTCGTCTCCAAGATGACAGATTATCTGCTGTCAGCCTTTGCTCCCCCTGGTGGACCTTGCGGAGCACTGTCCCTCTGATCTTAGTCCTGCAGGAGACCCGCAGTGGTTTCGCTGTGGTAGGAATGTAACTCAGACAGTTAAAGGTATGAACCATTTTCAATCACCTGCTTTTCTGTCCAGCAGCATCTTTACGACACACACACACACACACACACGCACGCACACGCACGCACACACACACACACACACACACACACGCACACGCACGCATGCACGCACACAAACTCTAATCCCAACATTACAACCTTAACTCCTACCCAGCCCTAAACTTAAACATTAGTAACCAAATGAAATACAAGATTTTTTTTGTTTTTTGATTGCATTCACAGATCTTTGTGGGGACCTGAAAAATTGTGCCCACAACGTCAAAATGACAGGTTTTTATTACATTGTGGGGAATATTTTGTCCCCACAAGGTAGTATAAACCTAATCTACTCACACACACACACACACACACACACACACACACACACACACAGTGACAGTGTACACATCCTGAAGGTACCAGTGAATCCTTTGTGTTCACTGCTGATTGGCAGGCATTGGGTATCTGGCTGTTCCCCATGCAGGATCGGCTCAGATGTAAATCAGTGTGTATAACTGCTCTCAGCTGTAACTGTACAGGATTTTCCCAACGGGCGAGTTGCCATGATTTTCAAACCCACACTTTTTGGGGTGTTTGACGGTGTGACCTCTGCTATCTTATTTTGGACTTTAGATCAGGTCGAAAATGATTAATGGCTCCCCTGGGCAACAGAAGATGGAAACTCTGGTGATATCCCAAGACAAGGTAGGTCATCAAGGACCGCCTGGCGTTTCCGGGCCTGGAATCTTCTCCGGGTGTATCCTGCACTTGACCTTAGAGGGACAGCCCTAGGAACGGGGGCTCGGGTCTCTTCCGGCTACCGTGCTTCCGTTCATTAATGGACTGTCTCTAAAAATGACCGCTTGTCCTTGTGTGGCTTTGTGATTGTGTCTTTGGCAGAGGTACATTGATAAAGGCGTCAGGACGTACACCTGGGCCCCAGTGAAGAGCACGGACTACAGGTACCGTCATGCTGTCCCCGGCGGGGACACTGCAGCCATTTGGACACCAGGCTTTCCACAGTCTCCATTTGTAATACATGCTGTTTCAAGCTGTTTCCCATTTGGGCCAGCAGGCGTCCGCACTGTCTCCCAGTGCGGGCGGAATACCTGTTTGAGCCAGTCTCCTACCCTGTGCAGTGTGAAAAACACAGATTAACAAAGCAAGTTTGACTGATCCTCCAGCACTGGATACTCCTGCAATTTTCACTCTCATTCTCTGTCCCGCAGAATAGTGCAGCATCTCTGAGAGTGATTTAGTGTTTTGAGAGCCTGTCAGCTCTCCCTGCTTTCTGGACGTCAGCTCTGTGTTCTTCTTGGGGGCGCAGCATTATGTTTTTCACGGCAGGTTCTGATGCATCTGTGTTTTGTTTTTGTTTTTTGCCACAAAACAAATGCTCTCATTAGTCATTTCCTGTCACTCTACCCTGACATGCACCACAACACCAACCCCAGAAAGCACTAAATTCAAGACTTTTGTTAGATACAAAATGGTGACAAATGCTAGTCCTGGCTGCCTTCTGACTCATGGGGGGTGCCGTCTGACAGGGGTGGGGGCATAGAGATGTTTCAGGTGTTGTCACTGCTGTTCTCTCTCATTCTGCACTTCGCGCCAGTAATTTTGCCATTTTTTTTCCAGTGCATTTACTAATGTTAATGCGAAAACTCAATGGCTGCATGATCGTCGCCATTTTTAAGCAAGTTCTAACAGTGTGATCTGTGCTTTCAGCCTGGCCCTGGTTCTGCCAGATTACAGTCTGAATTACATCCAAGCCCAGATCGGCGACACGATCGAGGAGGCCGTGTGTGAGTATGGCGAGGTGACTGGGAAGGCACTGCACCTACACACCTTTTGCACCGTGCTGCTGACTTTCAGTGAGGGCACACCATGCGCTTTCTGGAAGGTTCTTTCAGACGTACCAGTCCCATCCTTCAGTTGTGGTTCTCTGCAGTCCCTAGCCTATGCACAGAGCCCTGCCTCATACAAACTGTGCATATGAAATGCGGGGGGGTCGGACAGGTGTGTGATTTGTCAGCATAGGTTCTCTGGAGAGCCATGTGTCCTCACGAGGGCTTTCACCCGCAATGTGGGCCCCGGATAGTGCCGTCTTCCTAGTAGGCCCCGGATAGTGCCGTCTTCCTAGTGGGCCCCGGATAGTGCCGTCTTCCTAGTGGGCCCCGGATAGTGCCGTCTTCCTAGTGGCCCCCGG